TAGGAAGTCTTGCTTCACTTCTTGTGCACAGCGCACACACGGCACTGCCTAGAAGGATACTTCCCCGTCGATTGTTCGCTCATCACAATTTTCACGAGGGTATGTTTCCGCATATCACCCGAGAGTCGCCCAGGGGAGTCCATATGAGGCCTTCGTGGGGTGGGAGTAGATGGTCCCAGTCGTACTATGTCTGTGTCTGACGCAGGTTCTGCCGCCACCGTGAGGTCTGTAGCCCAGGCTTTTGCCACATTCATGAGAAATGCCTTGTATTTCAAAGTTGAATTTTCGTTCANTCTTTCAGATCTGGAGGAAGGCCTCTGTTCACCCTAATTGTACCACAAATACGTACTTTCCTTGAAAGTAGGTATTCTGCAGTTGCCACACTGTTATAAAAATTATCTTGATAAACGTGATAATTTTGATCCAGATTTGGATCCAAAATGGAAACAATAGTTTCTTGCAATGTCTTGCCTTCACCGGAATAAATTTCTAAATTTCCAATATATCCTGAAGTGCTTTCCATGACTACACGAACAAGTAGGCCATACTTTGTGAGTTTCCCAAGATTATACGTTCAAAAACGAAGCCTTCCCCTCCAAGGAATCACAGATTCGTCCAAAGACAGTTGCTGCTCTGGCTTATAAACTGTCTGAAATTTCTCAATGAAAAAGTCTAATAAGGGCTGAATTTTGAAAAGCCTGCCTGTTGATTGTGGTTGCAGTTATTATTATTGAAATGCAAACACCACCATATCTGTTCAAATCTCTTACGACTCATGAGTTTGCCGAAAATGGGAATTTATAAAAATGGATCAGTGGACCAATAGTCTTTCAAATTATCCCTCTTTGTAAACCCCATTAGAATGATTATTGCCAAAATTTGTTTCATTTCTGCTGAAGTGACATCCACCCTCTTCAACACCTTATAGGTACTGTCGTACACCTCACGGTGTTGGAGATAGTATCTGTTGGTCTCCTGACACAACATGTCAAAGAAACTATCTCCAAAAAACAGTTCAGCTACTTCAGACACTTGCGTAGGGTCCGATGGCATTTGTCTCACCCCTGGATCACCAGTAAACTTTCCAAAACTGGGTGTTTTGTCCACTTTACCCCATGTGGCTGTCCCCACAAGCTCTCGCTTTCACTTTCACTTTCTCTTCTGGTCACAATATTTTGTGGGCCCCTGTCACTGCCACTGACACTGCCCTCACTATCAGAAGACGAATCAGTTGGCAAGTCAGATAACTCATCGGAGATCAAATCACAGATTTCTTCTTCTCTGAGAGCTCGTGCGGCCTTCAACTGCTTTCGTCTCTGAGCCATGTTGACACTGAGAATATCTTGGCTCACACATAGAAGCTTTGACTTGAACAAAGGGACTTTTCTTTAGAGTGAGAGGTGAATAGAGAGTGGTCACGTTGCTGACTTGGAAAACAAACATTCCGAACGTCAGCTACGCAGTACTTTTACAGACACGTGGCCACCAAAGCAAGGAATAGTGTGTTGCAACATAATGTGTCCTAAAAGCCTGAATCTAGGCGACCGGTCTGCCACGTTTAAAACCCAAACGCCTAGGCCTAGGCGTCCAGTCGGCGAAGTGTTAACCTTCAGGTTCCATGAAATATTGGGAAATTTTTGAGTAGCTGAGTGACTTTTGCCTTCTCGAGCAGGACTTGGTCCCATAGAGTTATTTTGCTAGTCAGATTGCATAAGAGTACATCTGAAGGTCACGCCTTCTGACCCTCTGAACACAGGCTCACAAGTCATATTACTTCATTTAAAGATGCCCTTTGCCTCCCTTCAGAAGAGTGCTGTTGTCCTTATCAACCACCACAGACAGCACGCATCCATACTGCCTGCTGGAGAAGAAGGGTTGTTGATCTAACAGTTACTGGACCATTGTACAGAATCTGTGTACTAGTGGACACTTGTGTTACTGAGCTACACAGTGTAATTGTGACATGGCTCTCTCTCTCTCTCTATCATCATCATCATCAGTAGTCTGTCAAGACGACAGGTCCACAGTCTCTTTCAAAACAATTCCTCCACTTAATGCGATCTAGAGCTTTCTCCTTCAAATGACAGTATCCTCTTCTGTCCCCAAGGTCATCCAGCATCTTCTTACGTCTTCTTCCTCGTCTTCTTGTCACTTCTATCCGCCCATCTATCTTTCCTTCGATAGCTTCTTTTAGAAGGCAGTTTCTGCGTAAAACATGACCAATCCAATTAG